GTGGTGGTGGTGTGTGTGTGTGTGTGTGTGTGTGTGTGTGTGTGTGTGTGTGTGTGTGTGTGTGTGTGTGTGTGTGTGTGTGTGTGTGTTGCTTGTTTGGCTACATCTGCAGGCGCTTCACACTCACATGCGCACAATTCCACGTTCCACCACAGCCCCACACCTCGCCCGTGTCCACTGTTCCGATCTCGCGCTCTGCTGCCAGCGCTGCGCGATTTGGCCACAAAGTCCTCGTCCGCGCCCTCCTCTCGGCAATGCACCAACCAACCAAAGGTGCGAGCGTGTATGTGTGTGTGTGTGTGTTTGTTTGTTTGTTTGTTTGTGTGTGTGTGTGTGTGTGTGTTTGTTTGTGTGTGCGTGTGTGTGTGCGTGTCGGTGCGCCCACCCGCCCTTCAGTCAGTCTGTCTGTCTACCTCTCAATGTAATTTTGATGGTGTTCAACCGGCCGTGGCTGGTTTGCCCGTTTGTGATGAGGCTCAGAACAGTGTATGATCATCTCATCTTTGGCGTCTGCCCATCTCCATCTGTGTGTATGTGTGCGTGTGTGTGTGTGTGTTCATCAAGACGAGTACACCCTGCCGGCGGATGCGAGCGATCATCTCGCCCGTGATGACGTGTATGCAAAGGTCAGCAGTGCGGTGGGCGCGTCCTGAATGCTGTTGTGCTGCTACTGCGCTGCGACCTATTTACTGCGCGCACGCATCATGTATACGTCCCACACCCATTCGTGACCACCTTGCACAACATGTCCTCATCGTCATTATTGCAGACACGTGCGCTGCTTGCGCTGCTGCCGCCGTCAACACATCGTCAGCTCACGGCTGCTCCGTCCATCGCCCACCGCTGCCTCGCCGCCTGCCACGTACGTTGCCGTGCATGCAGCAATTGCATGCGCTGTGGCATGGATTGGCCTTTGCTTGACTCGTAAACAGCAGTGTCTTGCGCAATTGCTCGCTAGCTTGTGCTCACTATTTTAATGCTTGTGTGTGTTTGTGGCGTGGATCGTCATGTCAGGCGTTTGGCGACGCGTGGGCGGCCTCGTTCTGGCGCCTCGTGCTGTGCACACCGCCATCGCACAACGCAGTGGGAAGCAGTCAGGAGCAGCAAGGTGGTGGGCTGGACCTGTTGTCCCTCGAAGAAGGAAATGCGACCTTGCAGCAAAGCAGTGGCGTCACAACAGCGGACGCAGCGGGCAGCCATAATCATGGCGATGAAGCTGACGGTGATGGAAAGGATGAGACAAAGGAGCAACAACACCAGCAGGAACAGCAAGATAACGAAGGCGAAGACGATGAAGAGGAGGATGTGCACGACAGCGCGGACACGGCGCGGCAGCTTCCCGTTGAGTTTGGATCTCTTCGCTCCACGAGTGCTCTTCGCACGCGCAATCGCCGCAGCCTTCATCTCTATCACGACCTACACCTGCAGCAGCCGTGAGTGTCGTCGCTGCTGCGTGGTGGTGGTGGTGGTGGTGGTGGTGTGTGCGTGCGTGCGTGCGTGTGTGGGTGCGTGCGTGCGTGTGCATATCTGTGTATCTGTGTGATTATGTGTGTGTGTGTGTGTGTGTGTGTGTGTGTGTGTGTGTGTGTGTACGCTTCTCTCTCACACAAACGCACACACACAAACGCACACACAAACATGCACAAACACACACAAACATGCACACAACACAGGACCGCCGCCACAATACGGTGCAAACGTCACTGAAAAACATTCGGCGCGTGGCGTTCGCGCCGTCGCCAACAGGCCTCCGGTGCCTCGTCATCGGTGACGAAGGTGACACCATTTGTGCATGTGTATGTGTATGTGGGTGTATACGTGTGTGTGTGTGTGTGTGTGTGTGTGTGTGTGTGTGTGTGTGTGTGTGTGTGTGTGTGTGTGTGTGTGTTGTGCATTGTGTATGCCCCTGCAGGTGTGTGCCCTTGCCCACTGTCTGTGCATCGCCTTCCCGCTTTGTTTGCGTTGCGCACGCCGGCGTTCACAGCATGCCTTGGCTTGGCTGCACCACGTGCCAGGATGTGCCGTCATCCACCCCGACCTCAGCGTTGTCGAGCGCGTGCGCGACAGATCGCACTTGCACAAGGTGGGCGGCATGTGCAGCAGCCACTCATGATGATGATGATGACGATGACGATGATGATGATGATGATGATGATGATGATGATGATGATGTGCGGCCAGTTCTGCTGTGGGTAGCGGCATGTAGTTTTGGCTCTGTTGTGTGTGCATGTACGTCTGCTAGTTTGGTAGTTTGGTTTCGGAGTTGGATATTGCGTTGTTGAATGAAATTGTGCGAGGTCACGGCGGTTACTGACCATGTGACGACATGCATGACTGTGTTGCATCACCACCTCTGCATCAAAGATTGAGGACGCTGCGTGGTTGAGTGACGACCGACTGCTCGTGTCGATGGACAATGGCATGATCCAGACCTTCACAGCCTCCCTCAAAGTGTGTGGGAGGTGCTGTTGTGTGTGTGTGTGTGTGTGTGTGTGTGTGTGTGTGTGTGTGTGTGTGTGTGTGTGTGTGTGTGTGTGTGTGTGTTCGAGCTTGAGCGAGAGAAAGGTCTAGGTTATTATGGCTTATCTAATCCCTCTTCTCGTACGCTACCGCTCGATATCCCACAGTCTCTTATATCTGACAGCAAGAAAGGAGAGATCGTA